TGATGGAAAGAGTACTGGAAGGCCTACAATGGAGGATAGCCCCTAGTGTACCTGGATGATGGCATTGTATTTGCAACAACTTTTGATGAGAAAATGTCTCAGCTAGAGGAAGTATTCAAGTATTTGGAAGCAGCAAACTTCAAACTCCATCCCAAGAAATGCCACTTGATCCAGAAAGGGGTGCTTTACTTAGGTCACATTGTAAGTGAGCATGGTGTGCAAACTGATCCTGACAAGGTGAAAGCAGTGCGTGATTGGCCAACACCAGACAATGTTGGGAGAGTTAAGAAGTTTCTTGGGACTCTGTACCTATTACCAGAAGTTTGTGAAGGACTTTGCAACTATAGCTGCTCCACTACATGATTTGACGAAAAAGGCCAGAAGTTCAAATGGACTGTTTCTTGCCAGCATGCTTTCAAGACATTGAAAGAAAAATTGGCCTCATCTCCACTTTGAAAACTTCCAAATCCCTCACTGCCATACATACTGGATTGTGATGCTAGTAATGTCGGAATTGGAGGAGTGTTGTCTAAGAAAGTGGGCGAAAACGAACACGTGGTGGCCTACTTCAGTAGGGTCCTGAGAAGACCAGAGAGGAATTACTGTGTAACATGGAGGGAACTCCTTACTATAGTAAAAGGTCTGACATATGTCCATCCTTACCTCTGTGGTGCCAGGTTTACCATCAGGACAGACCATGCTGCGCTACGCTGGTTAAGATCATTAAAGAACCCAGAGGGACAACTGGCACGTTGGATCGGAAGGATAGACCAGTATAATTATGATATTGAATACATAGAAGGAAACTCGTGCTGGAAACGTGTACATTTGTGTGGTGATGAATTATTTCACCAAGTGACCTGAGGCATATGCAATACCAAATCAGGAAGCTACAACTGTAGCTTCAGCAAATAGTGATTTATTCTTCAGATTTGGTATGCCATTGAAGTGCATTCAGATCAATGCCGTATCTTTGAATCAGCTGTGTTCCATGAATGCTGCAAGTTGTTGGCATACAAAAGACCAGAACAACGCCACTTCACCCACAGTTTGATGGGATGGTAGAAAAGTACAACTGGACAATGGGACAAGAATTGGCAAAGTTTTGTAATAGCCACCAAGATGACTGGGATGTCTTACTCCCTCCACTGTTGATGA